ATCGTGTGACTGTGTATGCACTATCGTGGTGGCTGTGTATTGCCACTATCGTGGTGGCTGCATATTGCCATTATCGTGGTGGCTGCATATTGCCACTATTGTGGTGGCTGTGTATTTCCACTATCGTGGTGGCTGTGTATTTCCACTATCGTGGTGGCTGTGTATTGCCACTATCCGGGTGGCTGCATATTGCCACTATCGTGGTGACTGTGTATTGCCTATATCATGGTGGCTGTGTATTGCCTATATCGTGGTGACTGCATATTGCCACTATCATGGTGGCTATGTATTTCCTCTATCATTGTGGCTGCATATTGCCATTATCGTGGTGGCTGCATATTGCCATTATCGTGGTGGCTGCATATTGCCACTGTCATGGTGGCTGTGTGTTTCAACTATTGTGGTGGCTGTGTATTTCCACTATCGTGGTGGCTGTGTATTTCCACTATTGTGGTGGCTGCATATTGCCACTATCATGGAGGCTGCATATTGCCACTATCATGGTGGCTGCATATTGCCACTATCGTGGTGACTGCATATTGCCACTATCGTGGTGGCTGCATATTGCCACTATCGTGGTGGCTGCATATTGCCACTATCGTGGTGGCTGTGTATTTCCACTATCGTGGCAGCTGTGTATTTCCACTATTGTGGCGGCTGCATATTGCCACTACCGTGGTGGCTGTGTATTTCCACTATCATGGTGGCTGTGTATTTCCACTATCGTGGTGGCTGTGTATTTCCACTATCATGGTGGCTATGTATTTCCACTATCGTGGTGGCTGTGTATTGCCACTATCGTGGTGGCTGCATATTGCCACTTTCGTGGTTTGCTGCATATTGCCACTATCGTGGTGGCTGTGTATTTCTACTATTGTGGTGGTTGCATTTTGCCTCTATCAGGGTGGCTGTGTATTTCTACTATCATGGTGGCTGCATATTGCCACTATCGTGGTGGCTGTGTATTGCCTATATCATGGTGGCTGTGTATTTCCACTATCATGGTGGCTGCATATTGCCACTATCGTGGTGGCTGCATATTTGCCACTATCGTGGTGGCTGCATATTGCCACTATTGTGGTGGCTGCATATTGCCACTATTGGTGACAATACTGTGGTGGCTGCAAGATGGCACTATCGTGGTGGCTGCCCGATGGCACTATCATGGTGGCTGCCCGAAGGCACTATCATGGTGGCTGCCCGAAGGCACTATCATGGTGGCTGCCAGATGGCAGTCTCGTGGTGGCAGCCAGATGGCACTATCATTGTGGCTGCCAGATGGCACTATCATGGTGGCTGCCAGATGGCACTATCATGGTGGCTGCCAGATAGTACTACAGTGGTGGCTGCATTTTGCCACTGGCAGTGGCTGTGTTTTGCTACTATTGTTGTGGCTGTGTTTGCTGTGGTGACTGCCAGATGCCACTACCGTGGTGGCTGCATGATGGCACTATTTCGGTGGCAATATAAACCCTCTTAAAACCTTCTATTGTCATCAACATCTTCTCAAGCCTGTCTGTACCAATACAATCAAATTTGAAAATTATATCATTCATAACGGGTCGCTGATGCATGTCACTTCATGTTAATATACATTTTTCAGACATGCTTTAACTGATTTTGATATGAACAGCACACAAGATGTTTTGTTTTTATCTTATTATTCTTTGGTTCAAAATATACCCAATTGGTTTATTTGTGAATTGTAAAAACTTTTGTGTGATATGAGAATTGTATTATTCCATGGATGACATTTGTAACACCATATTTTTAACATGCTGAATACTCTCCACTAATTAGTCCCCGTTCGGACGCAGTCCGAAAACGGGGACTTATGTTTTGACCTCTGTGCGTGCGTGCGTGCATGTGTGCGTGTGTGCGTCTGTGTGTGCGCTCGGACCTGTATCTTAGAAATGCCTGGACCAATCACAATCAAGCTTCACACATACATCATACATGATATTATACATATGCACGTCAATTTGTTTCACGATCTGATTCAAGATGGCCGAATGGCGGCCATTTTTGTGCTAAAAATCCTAAAATTCTCGGCTGTTTACAGATGGATTTTGTTCAAACTTGGTATATACATTAGACATTATAGGACCTTGATGCAAATAATTTTGTTTTTCAGATAAGATTCAAAATGGCCGACTGGTGGCCATTATGTTTTAATGAATGGGCTTCTAGACCCATATCTCCGTCTTGTTTTGACTGATTATATTCGAATTTTAAATATTCATTATACATCATGTCATAGATAAACAGATATATTGGTTTGACGATCCTATTCAAAATGGCCGAATAGTGGTCATTTCTGTGCTAAAAAATCATCAAATATCAAGCATTTCTGGCATTTATGGATGGATTTCGTTCAAAG